CCACCACCTGCGGCTCCCACGCCATTCCCTGCAGCGCCACCACCTCCGGCTTCCACGCAGTCGCCTGCAGCGCCACCATCTCCGGCTTCCACGAAAACTCTCCCACAAGGCTGAATTACAGCAACTCTGCAAAGATGGCTTATTCGGTTTAAGAGAAAATCACTGTTTCACAAAGGCCCTGTACATAAGTGTGACAAACAGAGAAAAAACAGGAAATTGGGAAGAGAGGGACACACCTTTTCACACCACTGTGTATTGCAGGAATTGTTGTCATGTGGTTTGCTATAATTTGTAATTATTTTTCCTGCAAAAGAAGGAGTTAACAAGAAATTCTCCTTCAATTTTCAACATCAGTTTGGACAAGAAGCCCGGTTTTAAAGCATTAACGTGAGTGTGTGACTTAAAGAGTAGGAAAAGGACCATTCCTAAGTGTCTGCTTTGAGGCAGGTGCAAGAGCAAACCTTCCTACTCTAGATGCTAACTACTGGTCATTGCAGAACTTTACAATGTAACAAAAGATGTAATGTAAAAAATGTTATCGTCCAGCCCACGTCTCCTTATCTTTACTACACCAATGCACCAAATATTTTTCTTGTGATAAATGAAAAATCACAAGTGCACATCTAAATCTACGGGCAATTGAAGGTTAAGAGAGCTGCGTTTCATGCAGGTTCTTTGTTGAATGATGTTTGAGAGTGTGTTAAGTTACCATAAGGTTCTACTTTAAATCAGCAAATGTCAACATACGCATTACTTTCAGAATGATAGCTGTTCAAATGTTGTACTTCGTGTTTGGCGTCCATGTTTCACGCTCTCTAAACACTCACATTCCACAGTATTGTGTCAGTGCAAAGGAGTGTGTCTTTACATTTCCAGGCAACATTACAGTTTTCTTGCAGTGACGGTGCAGCCATCCTGCAGCACCTGCACACGACTGTCACCACTGTTCCATTAGGGTTTTGATGGTCAACTTTTGTGGTTATGATAAGCTCTCATACAAAGTACGAGAGTGCAAATTTACACAGTGCACATGATACTCGGAAAGCGGCATACGCCCTTAAAATACACACCGTACAACATTAGTCATGGCAACTGAAAATTACATGAAAATCTCTGTTTGAGAAGCAGCTGCAACTCTTTTCTAATTCTTAAGTTATCCGTGATGTTGTCTGTAAGTTTTAACGATAACGTTATAATCATCAGGCTTCTTTATGCTCTTCTGTCATGCTCTGTGTGCGTAAGATTGACCAGTCTACGTCACCAGCTTTATCCCCAGGATTAGTCGGACTTTCCGAAAAGAGCACACACTTTGACAACAAGGTTATTTTTACTTTTCTGTGGGATGTGGCTTACGCTTCTACACCTCATTACATCAGCTCAAATTAAATACCATTAGCCTATACCTCGACACACACATGCTCAAGAATTTCGCACAGTACGGTACAATGGAAGCTGTTACAATTACTGCCTGTTGGTCATTGCATGGTCAATATTTCTGCTTTGCTACTTTACTAGTCTTGGATTTTCCATTTTGTTTCCTG